CTCTTTGTAAACCAAATAGAAATAATTTTATGAGCATCCACTTCCATTTTCATTAACTCCTTTCCTCAAGTGATCCCTCTGTAATAGACATAGCCATGGTTGTCCTCTTTTTTAAAATGAGGTAAGTGATTGATAGAAAGGAGTTCAAGAATAACTTACCAAAGATGAAACAGCTAATTACATAGAATCCAATTTATCCTTATTATTTTCTTAGTTTTGTTAATGTGAAAACATAAAATCATTAACCATCTTAGAAACAAGCTAAATGCACATATTAACACTACAAATATCTACATTATTTTTGTTCTCAAAAGTTAGCAGTGATGTAAATAAGTGAATGACCTTCTATTCTGCTCTTTTAAAAAGTCCAGTGTTTCCTCTTGACATCTTCCTGATCCATGAACCAATTCACATAAAAATAAAGCAGATACTTTAGTGAAATTAAGAATAACATTACTTTTATGTGTATTGCAGGAATATAGCTAAAACTACTTTATAGACATGTTAGGGACAGACAGTTTAAAACTGTGATGAGTCCCAGACACTGATGGTATTTGTGAAGACACTGGGACAGAGAGGGGAAAAAAAAAAAAGATGAGTGCAAACTATTTATCCTCTAATATTGAATTGCATTCATATTACCACTTAGTTGACTATTAAGGGGCTATGATTTATAGTGAATGAAGTAATCATAACTAGAGATTACAACACTGATTTCCTGTCCAGTTCTTGGATTTATTCTTTGTTTTAAGATTATGTCTGTGCCTAGATGCGTATTTGGTAAATAAATATATCAAAATGAAATAAAAAACATGACATCTATTTTGAGCTAACTGAAACAGATTTGGCTATAGTTCCATACTGAGCTAATTGTGTCACACCCCAGGAGATGTGAGTAGTATTTTCCTTCTTTTATAGGGGAGGAAATTGAGACGAAATTCAAAAGTGAAATTCAGTAGTTATATAGCGAAGTACTAACCAAGCCAGGAATTTATGTTAAATCTCAGCGTTAAAACTGTGTAAATCTTTGGCATTGGTCCCCATGGAATGTCCTAGTATCCCTGTCCTCAATTCAGGTGAATCAAACTCACTGAGGAGATAGAAAAAAAGTTAGAAGAAAGCATGGCATTATGAAAAGAGCCCTGGACTTAGAGTCAGCGACCTAGATAGATATTTGTCGTGAATATCCCTATGCCTCATTTTCCTCATCTATAAAAATAGACTGATTATCTATGCCCTGGCTATCTTATAGAATGTTTGTTGTGGGGATTAAATGACACAATCTATGTGAGATCACTTTGCAAATGGTAAAATGATATATAAATGTTGTGTGTGAGGAGAGATTACCCATTTGTCCATCTCTGTGAAACTCTGATCCTTGTGTGTTTAACAGACAGAAAATCAGTCTTAATTTTACAGATGAAGAACTAAGGCCTGGGAAGGGGTTTTTGTAATAAATCAATCAGTAAGCATTTATTAAGCACCTGCTAGTACTATGTACCAGATACTGCTAACACTGAAGATACAAAGAAAAAGCAAAAGACAGTCCCTGCCCTAGAGGACCTCACAATCTTATGAGAGAGACAACAAGAAAATATGTATACACAAGCTATATACAAAATAAGTAGGAAATACTTAACAGGGGGAAGGTACACAAATTAAGAGGGATTGGGAAAGGCTTCCTGTAGAATTTTAGCTGGAACTTACTTGAAGGAAGCCAGGGAAGCCAGAGGTGGAGATGAGGAAGGAGAACATTCCAAGAATGGGAGACAACCAAAGAAATTAAATGCCTGGAGCTAAGAGATGAAGTGTCTTTCTTATTCATGGAAGAATAAGGAGGCTAGTGTCAGTGGATCAAAGTTTGAAGGGAGCTATATGGTATAAGTAGACTGGAAAGGCAGGGAAGGCCTTTGAATGCCAAACAAGATTTTGTATATGATCCTGGGGCCTTTGGAGTTTATTGAGGAGAGGAGGGTAACATGGTTGGGCCTGCATTTTAGAAAAAGCACTTTGGTGGCTTAGTGGAGGATGGAAGACTGGACTGGAGAGAGAATTGTGTCAGTCAGAACAACTATCAAGCTGTTACAGGATTCTAGGTGTGAGAAGATGAGTGCCTGTGCCAGGGTGGTGGCAATATCAGAGGAAAGAAAGGGACATATTCAAGACATGTTTCAAATTTTAAATCAAGAATCCTTGGCAAAAGATTGAATGTGGGAGCATGGGAGATGATGAGTCAAGGATGACGCCTAGGTGGTAAATGTGGGAAACTGGGAGGACTGTGATGTCTTAAACAATGATAGGAAAGTTGGAAGGGGGAAGGGATAGGGAGAAAGCTAGTGAGTTCATTTGGGAACATGTTGAGGTTAAGATGTTTGCTGGACTTAAAATTCAGGATGTGAGACTGGAGGTCAGCAGAGAGGTTAGGGCCAGATAAAAAGATATTAGAATCAGAGCTAATTATTAAATCTATGGGAGTTGAGGAGATCACTAAATGAAATGGTATAGAGGGAGAAGAGGGCCCATGACAGAGTCCTATGGGATACCTACAGTTAGTGGGATACTCACAGTTAGTGGGTAGTGGGATACTAGATGAGGATCCAGTAAAGGATATTGAGAAGGAGTAGTCAGATAGGTAGAAGGAGAATCAGGAGATAGTAGTGCCCTGAAAATCTAGAGGGATGAAAGTGTCAAGAAGAGGATGGTCACTAGTCTTAAAGGCAGCAGAAGGGTCAAGAAGGAGGAGCATTGAGAAAAGGCTACTGGATTTGACAGTTAAGGGATTATTAGTAATAATGGAGAGAACAGTTTCTGTTGAAGGATGAGGCTGGAAACCAGATTATAGAAAGTTATGAGAGTGAAAGGAAAGGGAGTGGATACACCTCTGTACATGTCCTTCTCACGGACCTTAGCTACAAAGGGCAGAAGAGATATAGGATGATAGCTGGTGGAGATGCAACAGTCAAGTAAGGACTTTTGAGGATGGAGGAGAAGCAAGCATTTTTGTAGAGAGTAGGAAAGGAGCCAGCAGATAGAGAGAAAGAATGAAGGTAAATGAGAGAGTGGGTAGGACAAAAGGGGCACACTGTTGGAGGAGATAAAATGGAATTGTATCACTTGTTCAGGTAAAGGGCTTTGCCTTGGCAAGGAATAGGGCCACTTCTTTGTGTAATATAGGGGTAAATAGGCAATGGGAAGAGGAAAGGCACAGTGAATGGCCAGAATTTTTTCAGTAAAATATAAGGCAAAAGTTCTCAGCTGAGATGGTGGGGAGAGGAGGAATCATGGGAGGTTTGAGGAAGCATGAAAAGATTTAGAAGAGTCACTATGAAGAGTGGGATAATGAGTTGATAAAGGATTATTTAGAAGTATTGAGGGCCCAGTTGATGTTGTGCATAATAAATTTGTAGTGGACAATTTTCTATCTTTGTTCAACAGCATGTGTATGTGAGTAAAAGTGGCCGATGATGGGAGTGACCCTTGGGTCATATGATAAGGACGCCAAGGGCTTAAGAGAAGAACACAATGCAAAGTTGAATTGGTTCGCAAGGTGGTCAGTGTGAGGAAAAGAGCAGATCTGAGATTTGATTTTCTCTGCAAATTAAAATGGGTTTATCACATGAATGGAAATTTGATGTTTTCCTTGGTATAATTCTTGCTGATGTAACTGGGCATACCCGCAGCTTCAACATAAAAGTGCTAAATTATCTTGCTCAAATTACTCATCCTTTTAGCAATTCTACCTCCTATCTGCATTCCATGTATGTTCCCAGTGTCCCTAAAATAATGTTGTATTTGTGTTTTAAGCTCTGTGGAGTTAGAGGCATACTTTATGATATAAGGCAGAGGTATCAAACACCAGCATCACTCCCTAGTGTAGCTCAAAACAGATTGGGGAATAGTTAACAAAATAAATTAAAATCTTATAGTTCATAGATAATATTAATATGCAATTTTTTAAGTCAATCAGTCCTGCAACTAGCAGGTTTCATTACATATAGTTTAGTGGCTCCCATCTCTATTTGAGTTAGGTGGACAACACTGATATTGAGAATAAGTAAATAAAGTAAGTAACTCATGACTATTAAACTTTGTAGATTAGCTCTAGGAAAGTTTTATTCTCAGACAAGTTTTCCCCTTGGCACACAACTTACATTTGGACTAACTTATCCCATTTCCATCAATAATGTATTTAACTATTACAGATTAATTTGAATACTAGACTAAATAAAATATAAATGAGAAATATCAATAAACAAGAATAGTGTATAATAAATAAAGCCTTAGACTAAAATAGTCTAAGTTTAGTTATTACTTATTTTGGACTAACTATAGTGGGTTTTTTTTTCTTAGAATGCATAATCGAGTTGAGTATTAAATGTATTGACTCACTTTTAAAAAACTTTTTGATACATTCTATATGCTTTTAAATCACAGAATACTGCATCAAAGAATTGGTATTAATGGACAACAGGAAAAGCGTATGTTATGTCTGTACTAACCCTGTCAGTTTAGTAATAAAAAATTTAACCTTTGTCAAGTGTTTTCAAGTAAACTGGGTGATGTCTGGATTAATCAGTTTAAGACTGAAGTCTACCAGTGACAAGAGTAAGCTGCCTATTTTTTTGGCATGGTACAGATTGTTCTAATTCTTTTCATCGGGGCACGAATATCAGGGCAAAATTTCCCACTGATTCCTCAGTTTATAGTTAAGCTCTACTTGTGAGACCGTATAGATGTATAAAGCATGTATGAGGATTTTCTTGTTTCTTGTTTGTTTGCTTTTTACCATGATACCTACATCTATAAGAATACTGACTTTTGGTTTAGGGTTGGGCCTAGTGGGTTCATTTGAACTAAAACTTGAAAGTATGTGACTACAGATTTAGGAAGTCATTTTGCTGTGCATACTTTAATGTACAGGTAACTTTTCATAATTAGCCTATAATCAACTTGATCACTAACCCCTACTTCTTTTTTGCTTTTTTTTCCCTTTTAAACAGCTGTTGTGAACTTGGATAACTCTGTGGTAGACCTGGAGACCCTTCAAGCCCTGTATGAAAATGTGAGTAGTAGAAAGAAGTGTGAATACATACAAATACACACACATACCTCTGTTTCTCTCTCTCTTTTTCTATTCTCCTCCTTTCCTACTTCTCTCTCTCTCTCTCTCTCTCTCTCTCTCTCTCTCTCTCTCTCTCTCTCTCTCTCTCTCTCTGTCTTCCTTCATTTCTCCCTCCCTATCTCTTTATATAGATAGATAGTATAGATATAGATGTATACACATACATGCAAATATATTTGTGTCTATATATATATATTTATATATGTAGAGAGAGAGACATATGCACACAATAGGAGAGTCAGCCTATATGCAAAATAGTATCTTTTAAATACTTTTAATACATTACTCTGCATTTAAAAAATAAAGTCAACTATCCTGTTTAGAAATTAGAGGACTTCCTTTGCCAAGATGGCAGCTTGAATAAGGAACCCTCTGAAACCCTCCCAAATTCGCTTCCAAACAACTAGAAAACCACCACAGAACTGATCTAGGAGCAGGGAAGCAACTTACCAGCCTGGCAGGAAAGGCCTGTCTAACTGGAGTGGGAAGCAACAAGAGCAGCAGCAGCAGCAGCAGCAGCCAGCCTCACATCAGGTGGCCTGCAGCAGGGCTCTAAGCCTGGGGCAATCCACCAGGTAGGCCCACCCTCCTGCAAAGCAGGAGCCCCCTAGGCAATTGAGAGTCTGTACAGCTCAGCAAGGTCCTACCCCGGCGACCCCACTCCCAGCACAAGCCACCAGGAAGGCATTGCCCAAAAGTAGTGAAGCCTTGCCCCAGGGCTGGCCAGCAGTGAGACCCCCTACTCATGGGGCCTACCAGCAAAGAGACCCATTTTCCATAGCAACCCAGCAGCAGGGCCCCACACCTGGGGCAGGACAGCAGCTAAATCCCACACCCAGGGGAGGCCAGTAGGGAGGCCCCACCCCTCAGTACATACCAGAAGGGAAGCCTACCCTCCAGAAAAAGCAAGCAGCTGAAGCCCAGTTAAAGCCAGAAGTAAGACCCAGAGCCCCAACATAGAAACCTTGGGACACTGCAGGACCAGAGCCCAACTCTCACATAAAAACACCAGGTCACAAAAAAGGCAGGAAAATGAGCAAAGAATAAAAAAGAGCTTAATTATAGAAAGTTACTATGGTGATAGGGAGGATCCAGGCATAAATTTAGAATAGGACAATAGCGTCCAAATGCTACATGTGAAGCCTCAAAGAAAAATATAATTTGGTCTCAGGCCCAAAAAGAATTCCTGGAAGAGCATAAAAAGGATTTTAAAAAGCAAATTAGAAAAGTAGAAGAAAAATGAGAAAAGAAATGAGAGTAATGCAAGAGAATCATGAAAGAGGAGTCAATACGATGTGAAAAGATATACAAAAATTTACCAAGGAAAATAACTCCCTAAAAAATAGAATTGGCTGAATGGAAAAGGAAATACAAAAGCTCACTGAAGAAAATAATTCCTTAAAACTTAGGATTTAATAAGTGGAAATTAATGACTCTATGAGATATCAAGACACAATGAAACAAAATGAAAAAAGAGTTTAAAAAATAGAAGAAAATGTGAAATTTCTCTTTGGAAAAACAGCTGACCTAGAAAATAGATTCAGGAGAGATAATATAAGATTTATTGACTACCTGAAAACCAAGATCAACAACTACAACAACAAAAAGAAGCCTGGACAACATCTTTCAAGAAATTATCAAAGAAAATTGCCCTGATATATTAGAACCAGAGGGAAAAACAGAAATTAAAAGAATCCATCAACCACTGCCTGAAAGAGATCCCAAAATGAAAACTCCCAGGAACATCATAGCCAAATCCCAGAGCTCACAGATCAAGGAGAAAGTATCGCAAGCAGCCAAAAAGAAACAATTCAAATATCATGTAGCTACAATCAGTATTACATAGAACTAGACAACTTCCATATCAAAGAACCAGAGGGCTTGTAATATGGTATATCAGAAGGCAAAGGAGTTAAGATTACAACCAAGAATCACCTACCCCCAGCAAAATTGAATATAATCTTTCAAGGGGGAAAATGGATGTGTAATGTAATAGAGGACTTCCAAGCATTTCTAATTAAACGACCAGAGCTGAACAAAAAAATTGGCCTCTAAATACAAGACTCAAGGGAAAAATGAAAAGGCAAAAAAGAAACAAGAAAGAGAAAACATAAGACATTCAGTAAGGTCAAACTGTTTATATTTCTTTCTGGCAAGATAACATTTGTAACTCTTAACTTTATTACTGTAAGAGCAATTAGAAGGAATATGTGTAGAAAGAGATTATGGATATAAGGTGACTTTTATAGGATGATACTCCCAAAAAAAACTAATATAAAGGAGTGAGAAAGAAAATTGCACTGGAGGAAGGAGTGGGGAGATTGAATGAGGTAAATTATCCCACATCAAAGAGGCATGAAAGAGCTATTATAATGAAGGGAAAGATGGAAGGGAGGTAGTGGGCAAAGCTTACTCTAATCAAAATTATCTCAAAGAGGGAATAATTTACATATTCACCTAGATATAGAATCTGTTTTACCTTGTAAGGAAGTAAAAAGAGATGAGGATAATACAAGGGGGAGGGAGGACTGATCAAAGGGAGGGTAAATTGGGGAAGGCAGTGCTCAGAAGTAAAACACTTGTGAGGAGGGAAAGGGTGGGAGGTAAGAGAGAGAGGTGGATAAACAAGCGAAAAATAGCATGGAGGGAAACACACATTTGTCATAACTATAAATGTGAATGGGATAAACTCACCCATAAAATGGAAGCAGATAGCAGAATGGATTAAAAACCAGAATCCTACAATATATTGTTTACAAGAAACACAATTCAAACAGAGAGATATACACAGAGTAAAGGTAAGGGAATGGAGCAGAATTTATTATGCTTCAGCTGAAACAAAGAAAACAGGGGTAGCAATCATGATATTAGACAAAGCAAAAACAAAAATAGATCTTATTAAAAGAGGTAAGGAGGGAAACAATATCTTGCTGAAAGGTACCATAGACAATGGTTGTATCAGTACTAAGCATATATACACCAAATGATATAGCATCTAAATTTTTTAAAGAAGTTTAATGAAGTATAGGAGGAAATAGATAATAAAACTATACTAGTGGAGGACCTCAAGTTTCCCCTCTCAGAATGAGATAAATCTAATCAAAAAATAAATAAGAAAGAAGTTAAGGAGGTGAATACAATTCTGGAAAAGTTGGATATGATAGATCTCTGGAGAAAATTGAATGGCAACAGGAAGGAATATAGATTTTTCTCAGCAGTGCATGGCACCTACGCAAAAATTGACCTTTCATTAGGACATTAAAAACCTCACAATCAAATTCAGAGAAAGAGAAATATTAAATGCATCCTTTTCAGATCATAATGTAATAAAAATTATGTTCAATAATGGACAATAGAAAGAGATTTAAAGTTAATTGTAAGATAAATAATCTAATCCTAAAAACAAGTGGGTCAAAAAACAGATCATAGGAACAATCAATAATTTCATTAAAGAAAATGACAATGAGACAACATGTTGAAATTTATGGGATTCAGCCAAAGCGGTACTTAGGGGAAATTTTACATCTTTATTTGCTTACTTCAATAAAATAGAGAAAAAGCCAATCAATAAATTGGGCATGCAACTAAAAAAAAAAACTAGAAAAAAATTAACCTCCCCCCCAATTAAACACCAAAGTGGAGATCCTGTAAATCAAAGGAGAGATTAATAAAATTGAAAGTAAGAAAACCTTTGGACATTAGTTCAACTTCTAGTTCAAAACTAGAAGTTGGTTTTATGCAGAAAAGCAATAAAATAGGTAAACCATTGGTTAATTTGATTAAAAAGAGGAAAGAAGAAAACCAAATTACTAGTATCAAAAATGAAAGGGGTGAATTCAGTCCAATGAAGAGGAAATTAAGACAATTGTTAGTAGCTATTTTGCCCAGTTATATGCCAATAAATTTGACAAGCTACGTGAAATGAAAGAATATCTGCAAAAATATAAATTATCCAGATTAATGGAAGAAGAAATAAAATATTTAAATAACTCAGTCTTAGAAAGAGAAATTGAACAAGCCATCAATGAACTTTCTAAGAAAAAATCCTGGGGCAGCTAGGTGGTTCAGTGAACATGTTAGCAGCCCTGAATTCAGGAGGACCCGAGTTCAAAACCAGCTTTAGAGACTTGACACTTACTAGGTCTGTGACCCTGGGTAAGTCACTTAACCCCATTGCTTAACCCCCGCCACCCCCCAAAAAATCTCCAGGACCAGATGGATTCACAAGCAAATTCTACTAAGCATTTAAAGAACAATTGATCCTAATACTATATAAACTATTTGGAAAAGTAGGCAAAACAGGAATCCTAACAAATTCCCTTTATACTGCAAGGTGCTAATAACAAAACCAGGAAGAGCCAAAACAGAGAAAGAAATCTGGTATGTGATGAACCCAAAGATCTAAGCTTTTGGAACAAAAAACTCATTATTTGACAAATTTGCTGAGAAAACTGGAAAGCAATGTGGCAGAAACTAGGTACAGATCAACATCTCATACCTTATACCAAGATAAAGTCTAGGGACTAGAGACAGTATTCTCATGAATAGGCACTTTAACTTGTTCATGTCTAGCTTACTCTTACAGATTCATTAGTACATAAAAGCTCTCACAAGCACCTACTGGCAGAAAACTAATAAACAGGAGGCAGTCACTCATGATTACTAATATATTAGCATAGTTGTTCCATTCCTGATGAATCTTCTATTTCTTCCTTCCACTTAAACTTCTTTACACTCCATGAACAGTTCCTGAGCTGTTCCAACCTGGAATTTTAGCTTAAACATTCTTGACTATGAATCCATGGGTGAACAGCTGAAATCTTGGCCTGACAGGCAGAGAGTAGCCTCTCTTACACTGCCTACACTCACAAACTATGCTTAATACCTCACTGTATTTCCTAACCGTGGGATTATCTGACCCATTAGCATAAAGCATTAAT